AGACCCATCCTGAGCCGCAGTGTAACACCCCGAGTTTTATTAATAAAGGAAAATACTAGCTTTTAATTTTAAGCTAGCCTTTGTTAATAAATAATCATGTTCAAGTTCATGTTATTCAGCTTATTAAATTTCAAATCCGACTATTAGTCGATAAATTATTCGGTTTAATTATTTCAGTAACCGAATAAGTTTTCAGATTTAATTTCGATTCGTTCATTAAATAATGAGTTCGGAATTAATAAGTAAGTTGACGAATTATTCGAAATATCAATATTCGGATTAATCATCCAAGTCAAGGATTCGAAATTATTATAGTTCGAATTAATTATTTCAGTCGAGATTACCCGAAATTATTTTCGACGTCACGTGTACGTTCGGAATAATTATGGTAATTAAAGTATCATGTTTAGTTAATTAATTAAGCATGAGATTATGATTAATTAGTAAATTAATCTTGCTTAAATCAATAAATGCCGTAGGCATTTTATTAGTAATATTCAAGTAGATTTTCCTCACTTATTTTCTATAAAGCCGTGAGATTATCAAGGGGAGGAATTTGTCTTCAAATATGTAAGCATGAGGTGTTTATTTCTTGTGCAATTAGGGGTGACTAAGCAAGCTTTCCCTAAGTAATTGCCGTAACAATTTTGATCAAAAATTTGAAATTGCCGTGAGCAATTTGAGAGGGAGAATTGTCTCCAATTAGTGGCATGAGGTGTCACATTTTTAGGTGTTTAAGGGTGACTAATCTTTTTTAACTTATGACTAAGCATGTCAAGGCCTCTTTAAGTTCCAAATGGTACAATATTATGCAACCAACAACATAGCTCATCATCCCTTCATTAGCCATAATCCGTCATGATATTTAAGTGAGGGAGACTTGGAAAAACTTCATCATTTTCTCCCTAAGTTCATGTTGGTATATTGTGAGGTTAGAGAGTACCTAAATAGAGAGATCATCGCACGCATAGCCTAGACGCAAGTTGCATAGCCGCGCCCGAGAGTACCGTACGACACGCACGGAGGCTTGAGCTCCGAGTAGTAATAGCCGGGTGTTCGAAAGGTAACCTCGGTTCATCGATTCTTGTTGTTGCTAAAGTCATGTTAGATCAAGTTTTGAGTAAGTCATGCTCATGATATAGCTTATTTTATTTTCAGCCGTGCGTGTGGCCATGTCGAGCATGTCATGTTTTGATTCGAAATCTCTCGAGCTATTGTCATGTATTTAGTCATTTCATGATTTATCATGTTCAGTCAGCTTATAATGTTTGAAGTATTTTCATGTTTGTTCGGTGATTCGGCCAAAGGGCGTGGTCGCGCACGTAGCGCGCACCACGGGCCGTGCGTGATTAGCAATCACGTTAAGTGGTAGACCTTTGA